AACGAAATGTTACAGATTGTGAGACCGTGTCAGAAATGGGACAGTCAGCAGTAGGATTTACAAAGGGGACAGTCATCTGTGGGAGGAAACTCTGGCTGCTGGTTGGCTGGATAACCACTTTCAAGGTACCCTGTTCTTTGTCTTGGTAAAGGGAAGAGGATTAAGATGCTGATGGTAGGAAAAACTAGATTATTGGTTTTCATTTTGATTTTTTTTTTTTTGCTTTACAATTTTCTCAACGGAGGTTTGCACCCCTACGTACTGAATTTACACCTACCTCTGTAAGCTGCTACTTCCTAATCTTCCTTCATAGACCCTTTGAGTCTGCAGTCTGTGGACCTGAAGGGGTGGATGACATAAGAAAATGAGTCTGTATTTGCTGAACACAGTGGAGCACTTGAGAATGACTTGTAGCTGTCCTCTATGGTCATTAGTCTGCGGGACAAAAAAATAAAGGGCAAACCTCTGAAAATGGAGATGGCAAAGACAAGGGAACTGAGAGGGAAAAGGGGCAAACAGAAGTTTTGTGCAAGCAGCAGTTTCAAGTTCATCCTTGAGCAATGAAGCCACTTTGAGTTTCCAAACACTGGACCTGTGACACCAGATCACTCTAATGGGCCCGGCAGGCAGAGCCCTGCCAGACAGCAACCAGCACCAAGCGTGCAGAAGAGGCAAAATCCAACTCAAATTTCCACACTCTCCTCTTGACGGGTAATCTGACTCGTTACAAGTCAGGAGGTTTCTGCAGAGCAGTGAATTCACATTGCGTAGTCCCAAAGTTTTGGATGGGATCCCTAAAAAAAAAAAAAATAATCAAATGTGCAGGATGGAGAGAACCAGATGATTTAATCTGGGCTGTAGGAAGGGTGAGTGAGATAGAGGTGATTGAGCAGCATCAAAGGGTGACAATCAATTTGAATTTCCCCAGAAGTGATGTTGATGCCTGTGTTGCTTCTCCTTGTGCTTTTTCTTTAATTAAATACCGAGTGTTCCATTAGTAGTTGGAATAACACGCTGTTCTTGGGGAAAAGAAAACCCAAGTAATCCCTTTATCTGCTAAAATAGATGATTTCTAGTAGATTAAACAATGGCCTTTCAGCTACCAGAGCATAGTTCAGGCCATAATTGAAGTCCTCTCCTTGGCCTCTCCTCGGTCCTCGCAGCCAGTAGTCCGTAGAGCCCCATCATCAGAGATAACCTCAGTGACTCTTGTCTGCAGCGAGTGTTTCTCCAGATGAGGAGATTAGTCAGAGATAAAGCATATTACCTGAAAATAATAAGTAATTACGGTCCCGGACTGTCTCTCCACATTCATTTCATGCTGGTTAACCCTTGCAAAACTGGCTGCTGGTAGGGTTTAGGTCTTTAAAGAGGAGGGAGGGTGAAGGAAGATTTCCCATGTCTGAGTGGAAAAGGAGAAATTTCACCTTTTGTTTTCTGTTTCTTGCCCTGGGTGGGGATTCCTGGGCATGGCAGGAGGCACTCGGCTCCTTGCACTGCTGCAGCCCGCAGTCTGTGGAGGAGCCGGGGCTGTGCCTTGCAGTGTCCTTGCAGGGTGCCATCACCCTCTGCCTCCCCGTGCTCGTCAGCTTGAAGCTGTGAGGTCTTAAAACTCCCTTGCAAGTCATCTACCACTTACTTGATGGCAACATAGAAAAATACTGCATGCCCAGTACGTACACACTGGCTATACTTCCCCTGCTGCATTAAACAGGACCAGGTCGTGGGCCCAGCCGGTGACCTGCAGTGGTCCATAAAGTTAAAATATTAGCCTGGGCCAGGCATGTTTTGGGGTTAACAGTACTCCTCCGTGCCCAGGCATGGCTCAGAGGCTATAAACTTCTCAGTGGGCAGTTGCCATGGGACGGGTCTGCTTTGGGGAGTGCTGGCTGGGCTATGTGGATGTGAGCTCAGGGCCAAAGAACAGTCCTTGGTATTTTTTCCAGCATAGATGTATCTACTCTGACTTGACAACACAAAACCACTTATAGCTTTCATATTCATTCATCAACAGGAGATCCAGAGAAACACAAAAACTTCGCAAGGTTTTTATAGCAAATTGTCTGCATGTCTGGGAGAAAAAAAAATGAACATATTGTGGTTTTCTAGAAATTTGGATTGGTTGCCTAGGTAGGATGGAGAGAAGAAATGTAAAAGAAAACTCAGGGTGAAGAAATGCCTTGAAATCTGTTTATGGGGCTTTGCTGTTGTTACCACTGCTGGGAGTGAGCTCCTATGCCGCAGAAAGCAAGTGTCCTGACAGGAAGATCTTTTCCTTGGTCTCCTTGCAAATATTACAGATGAAGTCCTGGCCCTGTTCAAGTCACTGGGAGTTTTGTTAATGACTTCATTAGGACCACTGCTGTTTCATTCATAAAAGGCGTCTTCCCAGCTCTCGTGCCATTACAGCATCCTCTGTCTGTCATCGGGCTGGTCTCCGTGAGTGAGGGACGAGTGGGTTCATCCTTCTTCCTCTAAATGCTTCATCGGCCGCTCCCTTGAAAACTGTAAATAAAGGCCGCTGGGGATAGCTTTTCTGCTTGACCCCTCACCTGAAATGAAAATAAAGGTGGCTGAATTTCATCCTGACGCGGAGCTCCTTCCCGGGCTGGCTCTTTCCCATAGCTGTTGACAGTTACCTGCCAAGCCCCATGGTTACCTTTGATTTTGCCGTAATGACATCTCGGTACTTAGGGTGGCTCTGGGACTGTAATCCTCTCTGTAGCCTTAACCAATTTATGGGGTAACCTGAGACCAGGCTCTCGCTTCCCCATGATTTTGCCTCTTGTTAACACTCACCGAAAGTATCAACAAACTAAATGCAAAGGGTTTATTTTATTGCATGCCCAGGGTTGGCAAATACCTGCATGCACACCTGCTGTAAATGTCTGCTTTTAGAGGGTAGCTGCACGCACTTGCCACATTAAAACTATGCAGTATTTTGTTTCCCCAAAGTGTGCTGCTAAAATAAATGCTTTGTTAGCAATAACCAGGCAGTGCTCCAAGGAGCTGTTAAGAGCAGCAGTGAGGATTCAGCAAAGCGGGATTTATCCACAGTTTTGCCACAGATTTTCTGTGTGATCTGCAGCTTGCTTTGTCTCGGAGTGCTTTGTCTTTGAAATCCTTCAAATCAAAGTCCTTTATCTGTCTCGTGTTTAGACTATAAGCTCTTCAGGGCCAGGGCTTTTTTTGTTGGCATAACAGCTTTTATAATAACTCTCCTCTGATCTTTAGAGGGCCTACCTGTGTGTGTATAATACAGTTATAAAAGAGCAGTCTCAGCTTCATCGCAGTGAATGATCCTGGCATTAGAGGACACGAGTCCTGGTCCCTGCTCCCTAACCTGTATTAACTGCCTTTTCTAAAGGAAATCTCAGGGCAGATGATTTACACGGCGGCGGAAGTAGGAGGAGGATCCCCAGGGAAAGCAAACACTTGAGACTTCAAGGTGGGATGACTTCGGTGGCACACTTCTCTAATGACCATCTGATCCAGGAGGTGCCCGCTTCCTAAGCACAGATCAAAGACAAAAGGTGACTTCTGAAATGACATGCAACCACCTCTCGCATTGCTTAAATTCTCTCCTCCTGCTAGCGTTTGATCTCACTTTACCTTTCCTGTCACTGGAAGCAGGTGGTTGCTTTATTCTCCCCGACAAATTTAGATCGGCTGAACAGCTAATGGCTGCAGTGGGAAAATCTCCCGGTTGCAGACCCAGTCCAAACCTTGGTGCAGTCAGTGGAAAGGCTCCTCTTCACTGTAGTCAGTTGTGGATAAGGTCTAGGTGAGCTGATCTGGAGTGGTCATTATCCTGCCAAACTTGCCTTTAAGAAGTAGACGAGATTGTATTGCGAGGTGAGACTCAAGGGAAGTCCAGCTGGCTGAAACCCATGAGCTCCTCCAGACGTGTGGGGATATGGCTTGAGGATTTTCCATCACATGCTATAAATGCACTATCCCCCTATATTTATTGCCAGCGAAGACTTGTGCTTGTTATTGCGGGCTCTGTACGGTGGCTCCACTGACTGCTGGTGGAAACGTCAGGCTCTCGGCCACTGTGAGATCTGTGACAAATGTGATTGCAAGTGACAGGCGTAAGTCAAGCCAGTGTCATATTGTAACCAGAGTTATGTTAGATCAAGAGCCTCCCCGAGACTGGGGTCACTTACGTGCTCTGCTCTGAATTTCGCCTGTTATTCCAACATGTCCCTAACGCATGGTGCTGTTCTGCCATACTCATGTAAGCCTATCTCTAGTTTTAACCTTCTCCTTCCAAGGAGAAAGAGAAGCAGAATTTACCTAACAGGCAAGCTCTTAACAAAGCCTTGGATATCTGATACACATAATGGTCCCAGAGGCATGTTTACTTTGGACTGAGTGAGTGAGTGAAAACCATTTTGGAAGGGCTTTTTCACCTCTAGCGACTTAACCTAACGAGGAGAAAAGTGATGCGGTTAAAGGGCTATTTAAACAACGGCATTAGTGAGCAGATTTAGGTTCTCCAACAATACATATATGTATTTGCCTTACACAGGTGCATAAATATGCATTGATTTGTATCACGGGACACATTGCATAGCCAGTGATGAGATTTCAGCCATCCTCTGCTGATGGATGCTTTATTTGGGGGAACCATGAGCAAACAGCTGATTGTTTTAGCAGGCTACAGCAGAACTGCCCAAAGATTTGGGACACCACCGTTGAGTTCACCAGCTGCCCTTGTCTTCTGCGGAGAGGAGTGTCTGTGCCACAAGGAGTTTGACTTTGAGGGCTCAGTCCTGTAAGTGATTTAGGTGGCTGGAAGAGGGCTACATGTGCCTCAGATTTAGGCTGAAGGATGTTGCTTATTTCTGATCATGAGATGCCATAAATGCCCCCACCGATGTATGAAGAAAACTGGAGAGAAGCGTGAAATAAATAACTCCATGGGAAACCTTCCCATGCTGGATTGCTGCACTGCCACGAAAGTTCATGTTTTTAGACCCAAATGGATGACTGACCTCGTGCTGACAGAATGGGCTGTCAGCACTCGTCCCTTGAAGAAGAGTCTCCCCTTTGCGCTTTGTCTCCTCGTGGTGATAACCTGAATGGAGATTCACAGATTACGTCCTGCCTCTTTCATGCGATGGGGGTCCTGCTTACCGATCACTTCCCTCTTTCAACATCCTCACAGGGGCAATGAATCTTATTCCTAGTCCAAAGAGCACTTGTCAAGAGCTGGGTTGACAGGGAGGTATGTCCTCCTTGGCCATGTTTTCTTGCATTGAATTGTTAATCGCTGAGAGGGTTCACCTGAACCCTGCCGGTACCCAGTGCAGCGCCTTGCGCAAGAGCAATACAGGCTTAGATAGCACCGTTGCCATTTCACAGGTGGAAAAAGACAACAGTTATGGGAAGTTAGGGCCAAATGGAGGTGAAATTCATCTCTGTGTCACATCCTATATGCTACTGCAGTCTTACTGAGGCTACGCGATAGACTTTCCAGAGGTACATAGGTACCTCTAAGCACAGGGAAATGTCCAGCAGGATGTTGGGAAGGAGCTGCACAGATCAGGTACACAAATCTCATTGTTTTACATTATAATTAAGGTCCTTGACTTTGATTTTAAAGGACCTGAACTCAGCTCTCACGCATTTGGGCCCATTGGAAAATTCTCCCAAGGTGCTGCTAAAACACATAATTGTCTGCCTTTGACAATCTGGTCCCTGCTGGCTTCTTCTAATTTCCTTGTATCCATGCACGTAGCATGATGTGGAGAGGTCAAAAGCACCAGCACCCTCTGAAAACCTCCCTGGCTGTTTGGGGTGATCATTGCCTTGAAAAACAGGGGCATTTCCATTCAGGTATGTGGTTTAGGCTCCTGACCCTGGGAATCTCAGCTGTCGCTTCCCTGGAGTATTGCAAAAATAAACCGATTATTTAAGAGCAGTTTTCTCCTGCGGGTGTTCATAGCACAGTGTTGGTCTTCAGCATTAACTTCTGTCTTAGAGATGTGCAGACAGCTGAACATACAGCAGCCATGCAGGGTACAGTGAGCCCTCTTCTCCTAGGGCAGGGAAGCTTTAGAAAAAAAAGTATTTAGTTGGGGGAAGGTGGGGAGGAAAAGGCACAGGAAAAGCTGCCTGGTCAAAAAATGCTGACAAAGCAACCCCATGGCTGAGATTCACAGGTAACACTGAAGCGCCCGGTGCTGCTTTGTGTAGCCCAGCAGAGTTTGAATGATCATGCAGTGGTTAATGCTGTAGGGAAGCGGCAATTCCAGCTTATGTGAAGCCAGCACAATACTCCATTCACTGCAGCTGGATGTCTCCCTCCTGGTGCTTCTCACGTGCAGCCCGCGCTGAGCACTGTGTGCGGGGATGCCAGGGGGGGATCTGACATGCAGGAGCCTCCTTCTGCTGAGTTTCCTTTTATTGGGGGGCTCAAGAGAAATCTGGGACCATTGCAAGGAATTGGTATTGCAGGAGAGAGAACGGCACTGCAGCCCACAGGTGTCTGTGAAGGAAGCTTAAAAAAAGTCCACGTGTATAAAAACACTTTAAAAAAAAGGCATGTGGCTGGTTTACTTTTTCTCCATATCTGAACTAGCAACGAGGAGGCAGATAAGCTCTCTCGGAGGTAGAGGAAGATGAGAGCTGGGAGTTTGGTTCCTGCCCACTTCTGATTAGGATTATGTTGGCAATTATCAGCCCCATCGTTTGGTATTTGGGAAGAAGAAATAGGAAGCTGAACAGCGATAGTGGGCTGCTCCTGCATGAACTATCCTGGCAAAATGCCTTTTAATTTCATGTGAGCTGCGCCTGTGAGAAGACGGAAGGATCAAGCCATCATCAAGGAAGATTAGGATTTGGAGCCAGGTTTTGGAAATTGTCTCTTATCTCAGTAATGAATCAGACACCTTAGGTGAAATTCAGATCCTACTGAATAAGCATTTTGGTTTTTGAGTTTAGCAGGGCCAGGATTTCACCCCTAATTTCAAATATTCCCAAACACTGCTGTGCCTGCAGTTGGAGCTAGTTACCAATGTTACATCCTAAAATTGTATCTCACTTATATTAGTCTTGTACGACCTGATTCTGCTCCCCCTGTAACTGATGGGAGTTCAGATGCTGAGTTCAAGATGATGGCACTGTCCCTCCTTTACCATGCTGCTTTACAGAACACCGATATTTTAAAAGTGAATCTTCTTAATTTATGTTATTCCTGATAATTTTAGAGTGCAGACTTGGTTTCATTTACATCAGAAATAGGATCCATTTTCCCTGCCCTGGAAGGAAGACACTCTCAAGGGCTTACTGATATTTGTGTGTTTGACTTTAAGGCAGAAGTTTGTTCCTAATTAATTGAATAAGTGCTTTAATCCCTGGCCTGAGGGCTTCCCATAGAGCATTAGCTGTATTAAGAAGGAAATGGAGTGTAATCCCTTTAATATAAGCACAGGAGAACACGAGAGTTTCACATTTCTGGAAATAATTTCTTTCCTTGTTGCATCATTTATTCTAATATTAATTTGCATAAAATACCGTGGGGACAAAGGGCTTCTCCTTCTGCCTGACCCCAGTGCTGAGCTGTTAGCAGCACACGACCCTTGCCAGAGCGTTAGCATCCTCTGGCTCCAGTTATACACCGGTGAGTAACAGGGTGCAAAGAGAAATAACTAGAAATTCAGCTCATTCCAATGGTGCTTGTGAACCCAGGTCCGTGACCGGCTCTCCTCTGTGGAGGATCCTGGAGCCAAGATGTCATCTTTCTGACTCATACGTCATCACCAGCATTTACTACTATTTGCATTCTGTAGTGCCAGAGAATCTCATTTCTGAACCGATAGCCAGGCTCATGTGTAGCTACAGAAATTGGACTCTTGGATGAGATTCAGCTGACCAAACTCAAGCTTTCTAGGAAAGCAGTTTATTTCATCCCCAAGTACGTATCTACATTGGTCACATGAATTGGGCTAAACGAGCCAAGAAACCAGGAAGGATCAGCTCAAAGGGAGATGTCCTCTTTGTGGACATCTAAAATTAGGTGAGATTAGTCTTGGATGAGGTGGATCCAAACCTGGTTAATGTTTGACATTTTTTAAAGCGTAAATACTCTTTACTGGTTTGCCCTTCCTGTCCATTCGTGGGACAGAAGACTAAATCTGAGCGTCCCCTGCTGTCTTATGTTGCGGGTCATCAGAGGAAGGGGGCTGCAACATCTGGACGGGACAGGTCAGGTGTACTCGGCCACACTCCAAGACCAAGCGGAGATCCCTGTCTGCCTTATTTCTGCAATGTTTCCCAGCCCTCCATGCAGTAAGGTAAGGATGATGTTTTCTTCCACTCCCCACAACACATCCACAAAGTGGGTCCTTTCTTCCCGTTTCCCCATCTTTGGCTCCCATCTTTATCTTTAGCAGGAGCTGGGGAGGCTTTGTCCCTCTCCTGGCCATATGTCCCCAGCATGGCTGGCTGCAGCTGAAAGAGCAGGTAGCAGCTCCCCAGCTATGACTGTGGGGTGGCTTCTCCTCCAAGAAGCCCTCAAGCCAGACCTTCATGGGGAAACCCCTCCCACCAAGGCCTCCAGGGTTCTGGAGTGTGGGTGTCTCACAAAGGGACAGAGGTTTCCCTTGTCCCTGGAAACACTGTGGCCACGCAGACACTGGTGGATCCCATTGCACACGTACCCTATCCCAGGAAGGGACACCCGTGTTTGCCCCCCAGCTGGCTCTGAGGCTGGTAGTGGTGGGGTGCTGCCATCTCTTCTCTGCTGGGTCCCACCAAGCTGCATCCCCTGAGGTGTCAGGCTCCGTACGTGCTGGTTGCTGGGCTGGACGGGTATATTTTGCATTGCTGAAGTTGGATGAAGTCAGTCATACTCTAACTGCTGATTCGGGGTGCACAGGGGTCCTACAGCCCCAGCTGAATCCCCTTCCTCCTGCCAGTACCCAACTCCAGGTCTCTAGATCCCTTGTTCCTTGGGGCGGTGTGGAGGAGAGGATCTGGTTTGCTGTTTGTTAACTGAGTGACTTCTTCTGGTCCAGGTTCCTGGCTGACCATGGTGGACACAATGAGGAAAACAGCGCACTCGAAGGTGAAGTACACACGGGACTCTCATCCTCACCAGTGTTTGAGTAATGGGTTTGCAGTGTCTGCCAGGCTGGGAAGATAATAGGAGCTGGTGACAACAAGCTTCTGGGTCCTGGCCAAAGGCAGCCACTGGTCTGGGAAGCCCAGAGGGGGAAAAGAGTGAAATGTTAGAAAAAAGGAATGATAATATAAAATACATTCTTGCCCATAATGGGTGACGTTGTTGGCAAGGCACGAGAAGCCTTCCCTAAGGTGCTGTGTGCTGGTGCAGTTATTGGTTCCTTTTTATCACACGAGGCATGGGAGCGCAGACCCATGCCTTGGCCGGCCAAGCCACCCCTGCATGGTAGAGGTGTTCGTGTAGCAGTGGAGATCGCAGTAACACCTTCAATTACTGCACAAGAGCTCATCTCCCCCAGCCCTCTGCCATGCATTGACAAGTTAGCACATTTAATGCTTTAGCATAAAACCAGCTCTCTCGGGTCAGCCTGAAGGCTCCTCTCACATGATTTCCTGGCTCCAGCAGTGCCCATGGTGGATGCCGAGGGAGGAGCACAGGAAACAAGACATGCACATAGTCCTTCTTCCCTAAAAATCCTCTCCCCATCTCCATCAGTTTGCACTGCCGTGATTTTCGGTGTTAGGGCAGGTGTCACTGGCTTAATATACCTTGGCAGAGTTTTCCTCCATAATTTTTCTGATCGCTTTGCAGAACGAGTATTGATTATTAGCCAGCACTTAACTTTAAATATGTGATAAGCGCATGGGAAATGTTACTGAAATAGGAGATGGAAGCACATGCTGATCTCACCTGAGTGACACTGGACCTCAGCAGCTGATCAAAGTATTTCGGCAGCTTTATATTAGTGCTCTGCCCAGGCACATCTGAGCAGTCAGAGGAGACTTAAGAAAGGCAGGAGGAAGGTGTTTGTTGCAAGGGACCGCCTGGGACAAGAAGAGCCCCAGAAACCATTGCCAAAAGAGTGTAGGATCTTCCTGGCCACCCTGCTCAGGGCTCGACTGAGCGAGGGGTTGCCCCTCTTGGACTGGACCCAGGTGGCCCAGGGGACAGAGGCTGCGTCCAGAAGAGGAGCTCATCCTCTCCTGGGCTACGAGGGAGCATTTTGAGTTTGTATCACCACTTTTGCAGGCTTCCCCCAAGTCCTAGCAGCTCCTTGTGTTTGCCTCCTCTCATTTCAGCTGCCTGTGTCACCGGGCATGTACAGGAGTTTGTACAGGAGAGACTACCGGTGGTGCAAGGAGTACAAGCCACCCAGTGAGGAGGACGTGCAGGTACCGTGGGATTTTCCTTGCTTGGCTCTTTAGCCTGTGGTGCCAGTTCCCCTCTCATGGCTACAGGACAGCTGGGGACGGGGGGTGTGCTGAGGGGGCAGGAGACGTGGGTGCCGTCTGCACTGGCAGGGTCTGCTTTGGTCCCCACCGTTGTGACCCACCAGCAGGTCACATCACGCCCAAATGCCCTTGGCTTGTGTCCCCATCCCTTCTGCGGGAAATCCCCCTCGTGCCCTCCGGTAAAGCTGTTTGGGGCGGGCGATGCTAATTACACTCATTAAGTCAGGGCACTAATGATTGCTTGCTGAACCGGCGCCTAAGCTTTGGACTCCTATTGCTCCCTGTGGGGCTGATGGAGCACGTCAGGATTAGACCCATCCCGGTACCGCCTTGAGGTGGGGGATTGCATTTGGGATGGAGATGTCTCCTTGCCCTGACACGGGCCTGAGAAGACTTCTGCGGGGAAGCTGAGGTTGTTTTCTTTCTAATCTCCTTGCAGTGCGAGCGACCCCCTGAGCTATTTAATTTGATTTGCCTCGCTCGGCCTGCCCTGGCTTAATTGCTTGTGGCAGCCCGGTGGGGACAGCTGCGGTTTGCACTGGGCCACTGCAGAGAAGTGGCGGGGGGCATGTTCGGTTGCTAAAGTGCTTTGGGCTCGTACGCTCATGAGAGAGGGGGAAAAAAAAAGATCAGGCTGGGGAGGAAAAAGGGGGGGACAACAACAGAGAAATCATTGTGTGAAGGTGCCCGCCGGGGCAGAGGGGCTGTCTGTGGCCACTGCTGCCATCCTAGCCTGGGCAGCAGCTTGGGGAGCCCTCCCCACTCCTCCCCTCTCCCCTCCTCCTGCCCCGGGGAAGCGCTCCCGCTGCCAGCAGCCTTCATTAACTGTCCTGCCCGGGGCTCCCGCTGTTCTCTGGGGCTGGCGAGCACTTCCCGGGCAGCCCCAGCCTTAGGTGGCTGCTCCGCTTCCAGGAGCCGAGATCCTGGCTGGGAGGGCAGGGTTTAACCCCTGCCTGCTGGAGCACAGTTTCCAAGCCATGCATCTCAACTTCTTTTTCTTTTCTGGTTTTCTTTTTTTTTTTTTAATTTTTTTTTTTTTTTGAAGGCTGCACGCTTCCTGTGGAGGTCCTGATGTATTTTTGGAGATAAAAAGGGAGGGAGAACCTGAGATATGTCTGCTTTCCTTGGGTTGCAGCTCCCTTTGACTCTTTATTGCCTCTTTATTAACTCCCAAGGCCTGCAGAAGAAAGCTGTCCCACAGGATAGCATGATGATGAGGTACTCAGGAGGCCCAGGTTTCCCTCTTAGCCCTGCCAGGATTTGGTTTTATTTTAAGAGGATAAAAACTCTTTAAAAAATATGATGTTTTTTTCTCTGCCAAATTTTGGAGGGTAGCCTGCTCCCAAGGAGAATGTGGGGAGCTCCTTGGGTTGGGCCAGAAAGCACTGGCTGGTGAGCCATCCCCACCGTGGGCTCCTGGAGGCTCCTATCCCTCTGGACATGCCTTATGAGGAGCTCTGGCCATCCTCGGTGGGGGAAGCTCCCAAATACAGGTAGTTCCCATAGCTCTGCAGCTACCACCTGCCCTATTGTCAGCATGGTGAAGGAGAAGCCACCTTGGGGAGAGCCCTGGGGACCTTGGAGGTTGAGGAACAAAATTTGGATTTTTTTGGATCTCCACCATGGAGATCCGAAATGACGATGGACAAACCCCATGAAGATGGTCCTTGCTGACCCCAGCAGCCTGGCAGAACTCACAGCAGGAGGGTCTCTTTCTGAGCCCCTAGAAAGGAGCAACTGGCTTGCGATGGAGCTGTAGTGTGCAGCTGAAGAGGCTGGAGCCAGCAGACCCCCCAGAGCAGTCATGCCAGCAGCCCCATTGGCCTTTCCCCGACACGAACCTTGGAGCTGTCCCCTCTCCCACCAGCAAACCACTGCTTGTGCCGGTGCTCCCTCCTACTGTCCACCTGGGGCCCAGCAGAGTCCCAAGCCATAAGATGGGCAGAAGGAGGAAGCCGCGACGGTCCGTGCATTTTTAATGACAGTTATGGAACTGCTTTGTGGCCATTGTGTCCCCAGGGATGCTGACCCCACCAAAGCCCCGGCTTTGCTGTGGGCAGGTAGCGTTGCTTGTTGGTGCTTTAGCAACTGGCCTTCCCACTCACGGTCTCTCCCTTCACATGGGACTTCTTTCTGCAGAAGCTGCAGATTGCAGACTCCCAGCTAAAAGCCAAGGAGTTTGCCGTACCCCGGGAGGAGCGGGCGATGACCTACAGTGACAGCATTGTCTGGCAGGGGAGAGAAGTCATCCCAGCACCGAGCATCAAAGCCAGCAGTCATGCTGATGACGCAGGAGGGAGAAAGCCAGAAGGCAGCGCTTCGGGCCCCAAGGCCTTGCAGCAGAGAAAGCACTTTACTTCAGTCCTTCCCGTTGCAGAAAGCTACCTACCGAAGTACTACCCTGCCACCGAACTGGCAGCAACCCAGGCAGAGAAATCGGAGAGGCCGCAGGCTCTCGCTGAGCCGGAGAATGAGCTGTCTTATTGCCAGCGTCTTCCAGCTGCTGCTCAGACTGCTGGAACAGCAGGTAATTCCCCCGCGCCGGCGCCGGCCGCTTGCGAACAGCTGACTGGCCATATCCACCTACCTGAGGGGCTGTCTGCCTGGGCCTTTGCCAGCTGAGCTCCCCCTGCCCGTGGTCCACGCTGGCTGGACACGCGCGGATGGCAGCATCCCGACAAAGCGTTGGTGCTGGGCTGAGCCCAGCGAAGATTAGCAGTGTGGGCACAGCACCCCTTTACCACGAATACGCAGCTCCCAGGCCAGCTCAAAGTGCAGACGTAGTGAGCTGGAGTCTCAGAAACCTCTGCAGAGCCACGCTCTGTGCATGAAGACCCTCTGCTACCAAGGCATGAGCACTGCAAAGTCTTTAGGGGTTTCATCTTAGCAGCTCCTTTGGGATAGAGGGAGATGCAGTTAACCCCGTGTTGCAGGTGGCAAACAGAAGCGCAGGGAGGCAAAAGGACTCTGGTTGAGCACGAGGGACTTGGGTGGTTCAAACCAGCAGCCCTTAGTGCCCTTCTGCTAGGGATAACTGTCTGGCAGCAAATACAGCAAAGGGGCTGGTAGCCAGCCCTCGGCCACGCCACTTAACAGCTTGCTTGCATGGATTAAAATGCTGATGGAAGTCAGGAAAACAAAATTAGTGGTCACCAAACATCACCCAGCCATGCCCAACCTTCCCAAAGTAGCGGAGCTCTTCCTCTGAGCTCTTGTGTGAGAGAGAGGAGTGCAGCATTGCTCAGCAATGCTCCAGGACCAAACAGGAGGACATGAGCAGGAATGTCCTCTATTCCCTGAGCTCACCTCTCCCAGCATGGGATGTCTGTGTCTGGAGCTGATCACCTCAGCTCCCTTCATGATCAGTAGGGAGAAAAGACACAGCCATCTCCGGTAGCTTAAATGCCACCTTGAGGATGAGGTGAAGTAAGCCCTGGCAGGTTTTCTCTCTCCACTCACTAGGAGAGTCTGGACAAGTAGCTCAGATGGACATGTCTCCATTTGGACAGATCTCCATTTGGACTGTCCAGTTAGACTCTAGTTAACATCTGAGGTCTTCAAGCATCTCCTCGCCAAGCCCATCTGAAGCTGCCTTGTGCTAATGACACAACTGCTGT